CAAAAAGTCTGTCAGTCTGTCAAAGTGAACACCGGTCACTACACAGTCTGTCAAAGTGAACACCGGTCACTACAGTCTGTCAAAGTGTACTGTCACTACAGTCTGTCAAAGTGAACACTGGTCACTAAACTCTGTCAAAGTGAACACTAGTCACAACAACAGTCTGTCAAAGTGACCGGTACTACAACAGTCTGTCAAAGTGAACACTGGTCACTACAGTCTGTCAAAGTGAACAGTCACTGTTTGTCAAAGTGCTGTTTGTCCAACAACAGTCAAAAAACCAAGTCCAATGAGGTTCAGATATTTCATGTTATTAGGTTCTTTTTCTGGACTTGACAGTTTCAACTGCTCCCTGCTGTCTTCCTCAGAGTGGTCAGGTGATGTTGCTGTGACGTGTTGCTCAGCTGATTTATAGCTGAGTAAAAAAGTCCCCTCGTCCCGTGGGCACGACAAAGGACGACAAACATTGTTGCTGGGTTAAAGAGGCAATCAAAATATGGAAACATGCCCATGGGAGTATAAACTGGGACGATGGGGCTTTTTTACTCTCACACACCTGGGATACTGTCCTGAGGAAGTCGGACTGCAGATGGCGTTGTCGTCCTGCCTCCACCGATAGGAAGACGGCACCAAAACCTGTATAAATCAGCTGAGCGGACACATCACAGCAACATCATGTGAGGAAAGACTCTGAGAAAGACCGCTAGTGAGCAGTCAAAACTGTCAAATATGAAAACAAACTCTTGGTCTGAAAAAAGAGCTCAACTAGAAAAGCAGTCAGAGAGCGCAGACCTCCGTCAAGGACTACCCCCATTTTTTATATAAATTGCGATAAAATCAGTCTTCTGAATCAGATCCGGATCAGCCTTTGGAATATGAAAGAGGATCCCATTGTCCATCCCTGAGTCAAATTTCATGGGGTTTGGTCAATAATTAACCGAGATATTGAGAAACAAATTTTTGGCCCCATTTACCACAATGTTAACTAAAATTTCAAAGTGATCCAGAATCCAGGATTTCTTCCGGATCACCCCCAAAATGAAATCAGTTCTTTCTTTTCACATTTCCAACAAATCCTGAAAATTTCATCAAAATCGGTCCTTAACTTTTTGAGTTATGTTGCTAACAGACAAACAAACAAACAAACAAACAAACAGACAAACGCCGGCAAAAACATAACCTCCTTGGCGGAGGTAATAACGTAAGATATAAAACAGCTCAACCTTACATTTATTCAACAACAAGGACAAAAGCATTTGACGGACCCTCAACCAGAAAAATTACACAATGCGCCTTTAACTAGGGATGGGCATTCGATGAAATTTTCTTAAACAATCGTCGGAAGAATTAACGATCGATTATTGATTAATCATTAACGTTTTTATATTAAAATGATCATCATTATTATTACTATCTGCACTACTAATCTGCATAAATAAATTCAACTTTACGACATATAAACCATAATCACTCTAGAGCCACATCAGCTGTTTGACATTATAATGTGTTTAATTCAGTTTTGCTCAACTCTCACAGAAACAAAACTTAAAACCGCATCGCTAATTTGCATAAACTCAGCGAAGATAAAACTACAGCTCTTGTGTCGCTGATGTGGTTCAACTTCTGTCAGATTAAAAGACATGATTCAGTGGAATACAGGTTAGTGTGACCAGATTTGTGTTTGTCAAAACCAGGACACCGTACGGGGGGAGGGAGGTGGGGACTCGTCATCGACATTGCGCTTCTCTCACCTGGCAAAACTTTTTCCCACTGGACACCGAAACATATGTGCTGCTTTGTACACTGTGCACAATTGTCCCGAACGCAACGGAAAGCGTGGAATTTCTTGTACAAATCATCTTTAAATACGCATTTGTGCTTCGGTACGTTGCAGACTGACCGAATGTTTGTGTTTGCTCACTCCTTCTGAGTGCAGAGAGACACATGTACGGACCCGTTTGGTCAGGCTACACACAGCAACCTACATTCCGTTTGTCTATTAAAATTAACGTAATTGATGAAATTCTTAATGATCAATTATCGATTAATCATGCCCATCCCTACCTTTAACTATCTTTTTTTAAATATAATTGTACTTATCTGCGTCATGTTTCAGACACCATGCATCTTCCCCTACTTGAGTAATATCATTTGCTTTTGTAGCCTATGCTTTTTTATGCTTTAGCACATTTTAGGTGAATTACTAAAATAAGATCAAACTCAACAAGATTAAGCAAATGTGCAATGACTAAAACCATGGCTATAACTGGGACTTGAACCAGCAACCCTCAGAATCAAATCCTGGAGCTGTTGGATCTATTGGTTTTCATGTTCATTTCTCTGCTCACCCAGTCAGTTACAATAGTGTCATCTGAAGCATGGGTATGGGTAATAAAAGTGCAATAATGACTGGCTGATTCTGAGCAGAAGTGAAATTTCTGTTTTGCCATCTTGTACTTACTAAAACTCCAGACTCCATATAGTAGTACAAAAAGAGGTGTTTTTGAACAGTACATCAAAGTCACGGTGACATTGCGAAAGAAGATTGTTTTGGAAAATAACCGCGGCTCTTTATAAGACTGTGCAAACTCCAAGGCTGTTTACACTGTCAGGTTAACTGTCCTCTCTGTCACCACGCCAACGGTAAACAGAGCTTTTAGGAAACTGCAGCAAAGTTGTAACTTGAGGACTTATAACTTATATTGGATGCATGATTTTAAAGTGAAGTGAGTGCAGCATGTCCAAAACTATTTGTAACCTAAGCAACTTTCTTTTTGGTGATAATGTGTGTGTTTTTATTGCACAAAAATATGAATTATTTCCGTGACCGGGGTTGCCTTTCCCCTAACCAAACCTGATTTTCTTCGTGGAGATTTAAGTTTGCTATGGGATCGTTAAATGATAATGTCACTTCTGGTTCAAAACTTTCAAACTTTCAAAATGTTTATCCACAAATTTGATCCAATATGTAAATAATGGAGTGATAATCTAGGGCCAAAAGTGGGACCAAGTTGTTGTTTTGCAAATCTCAAGTAAGTCTCAAGTCTTTGACCTCAAGTCTGAGTCAAGTCCCAAGTCAAATACAGGAAAGTCCAAGTCAAATCTTGAGTTACTGGCTCATAGGTCCAAGTCAAGTCCAAGTCGTCTGCTTTGAGCTTCAAGTTATTTCAAGTCTTTAAACCAAAGTACCAAATATCGCTTAGATTTTTGCTATTTATATGACCTTTAACAGACATTGTACTTAAAATGTCATGGTATATTTATATATGAGTATTTATATAAGAAATATTATTTTGTCTCTTTTAAAGTCTTGTCAAGACTCATCATGTTCTCTGTAGTTCTCTCTTTTTTACTGTGTTGTACTGTATATTACTGTAGTACATTTGAGGATAACACATCACGGTACTTCAGTTCCATCCAAAGGAAGAAACAGAAAAGTGGGAGGGACATGTTCCAGTTTGTTCCTATGAAATTAAACACCGTATGCATCAACTGTAAAGAGAAAAGTATTTTCTGAAAACATATATATATTTTTAGGAGAAGCATCAAGTCTTCTCAAGTCACAGGTCTCAAGTCCGAGTCAAGTCCCGAGTCACTGACCTTCAAGTTGAGGCTCAAGTCTTAGTCCATATTATCAAGTCAAGTCTCAAGTCCTGGAAATGGTGACTCAAGTCTGGCTCAAGTCCAAGTCACAACTCTCAAGTCCCCACCTCTTTCTACGGCTACTGTTAATACTAGTTTAGTCTAGTCTTGCTTCTTACCTCAACTTCATACACTTTCTGTCACACTTACACCTCGGTGTTAAATGGCTGCAGTGCTTAATGTGAGATGTGTTGTCATAAATAAACCAAAAAAGATGATAGTAGGTAAACATGTCCATTACATTCAAGACATTGATACGCCTCGAACCCAGAAGTGACATCAGACTTAACGACCTTAAACTGTAGAATATTCTAGTCATAAGAACAGTTACACAGTACTCTTTTTGCAATCCTTGAGCTGGCTTCCTTAAATACAGCACAGAAATAGACTTTCTCTAACAGCAATAGTATTAAAACCTCCTTGAAAAAGAGACGACGCATCTCAAGGAGCTATCAGAAATAAAGAAATATCATTACAGTCTGCATTAGTGTAAAAGAAACTAGAGATTTTAGTTTTGTAATAAGCCGGTCTCTTTTACAAGTTCTAGGAATGCAGGTCGATAATATCTAACGAACAAATGCACTTGGACAAAATTTGCTCCAGTACAGAGGTCAAACTATGTCTGCTTGTGCTTTTAATGATAGTGTTTAATTTGTGTTTAATTGTGTTTTATCCAATGATCAAGAAGGACTCATTAGCATACTAGTTAGTTCAGTAAAACTCAGATACAGTGCCTTTAAGCAGTGGCCAATTATTCCTTACGTTTTCGTTCTAATCTATACACATTTTTGTATAAATGCATAGTAGTACAATAATATCTGTTAATATAGGCACCTCTGGTAACATTTGTGATAAAAGAGGTAACTTTGTAGGTTTTTAGGGACTTTCTGACCCAAAAACACCAGTGAATTCTCCAGCATTGAGTGACTAAACCAGGACTAAACCAGAACTAAACCAGGACTTGTTCAGGACTATCAGAAATCCATGTTGAGTTTTTGGACAACTTGAACTCCAGCTTACTTAAAATGTATAAGTATTCCGCTGCTGTCATGGTTGAAGCACAAAGAATGAATAAAATCACTTTGAATCTACTTAAATTTTCATATAAATTCAAAACGAGTGCATTATTCACAGCAACTGAAAATGAAGTGAAGTGGTTACAAATCTTTTTAAAAAAATATGTAATTTCTGGACGAATGAGAAACCGTTTTTGCGCAAATTTCTCAAAGGCTGCCAATATGGAGTGCCCTGTATATTCCATGTGATTGAACATCTTGTAGTATTTCTTCAAAAAGGTGTTGAATGACTTACCGTGGACTCATGTACCCGCCGCCCACACGCCATTGCTCTTAACTCACCTTAAAAATTAAATCCTTTTTTCCGTAGCGCAGTTCTTTCAGCTGAGCCTGGATTTTTTTGGACTGCAAGGCAAAGATAAGGAAATAAATGTTAGCGTATTCAAATTGTGGAATTGGTTTTAGATCACGTAGCATTGGTCTGGCCGCAGCGGCGGGAGGGGGCTTTGTGGCTGCTCCTCGGGGCAAAGCTCTGCTGAAAGAAAGGCCTGCGGAGAGGAAGAGAATATTAACTTTAGCCCCTCGCTCAACCGCAAAGTGCACGAGGACCGGGAGTGTGCACGTGTGGGCTGGGAGGCGCCACAGTGGGGTAATACGAACTTCACTTAAATTGTCTTGTATGAGTGAGTGTTCGGTGCTGGTTAGAGGGGTCGTTGGAGCAGACCGGCAGGCTCGCTCCTGTCAGTCTTCCTCAGGTCAGCTGTGGCTACAATAGCAGTTTAAAGGGCCCATATTTCACTATTTTTGAGCTGTTATAATGTTGTTTCCTGATCACAAAAAGTCATGGAGTTGGGTTTTGTTTCATTCACACATGTTTAACGACACAACTCCTGCATATTCATCTGTCCCTCCTCGTGATGTCATCAAGTGGTAATACAGGAAATGCTCCACTGTGTTTTTAACCCATACACCTTCAACAGAACCAAAATTTGAAATCGAGCATTTTGGGGATGCAGACAGATTAAAATTCCAAGATTACTCAAACATATAAATGAAACAAAACACAACTCAAGGTATGTTTTTGAGGAGGTAACAGCAATCTAATACGACTTAAAGGGACAGTCCGGAATTTTGGACATAGGACCTCATTTCCTAGTGAGCCAGAGTGTTGGAGACGTGTTGAGACACTTTCTTTAGTATTCCATCCAGTCCTTGTATTTGCAGAGGTCGCTGGTGCTAGGCTAGTGCATGTCAATGGCCATAGTTAGCCTGCTACTAAAAACAGTTTTACCCACTCCACAAAACACCCAAAGCAAATCTATTATTACACCAGACTGTCGATGTGAATGTCTGTTTTGATAGAATAAATTTAAAAGTAAAACCAACCTTGCATTTGAAGGATTTATGTCTGAGCAGCAGCAGTGAGTTGTACTTCCTGATAGAAGGCTTGGAAGCGGCAGAGTAATATATGAGAAAATAGTCCTTCAACGTGCGACGATTTATGCCATGCAAGGTTAGTTTTATTTCAAACATTATTCTATCAGCACAGACATTTACATGGACAGTCTGGTGTAATAATAGATTTGCGTCAGGTGTTTTGTGGAGTGGGTAAGAGGTAAGTGTTTTTAGTAGCAGGCTAACTATGGCCATTGACATGCACTAGCCTAGCACATATAAAAAAAAACAAAAAACACTCTAGCCAACTAGGAAATGAGGTCCTATGTTCAAAATTCTGGACTGTCCCTTTAAACAGGAGTCAGTTTTGCGTAATACAGGACTTTTAATTGTAAAGAGACTTTGAGCCATAAAAGACTTTGCATTATTATTATTTCATGAAAACCATATCTTGGATAATTCAGAACCTTTCAACATATTCAGTTTGCAGTTAAATTGCATTATTCATTCACTCTACTCAGAGTTGATGAGCAAATTCTACAGCCATACCTACTGGGGCAAACTTATGGAAGCAAGGCTGCCAATTTACACCATCACACACCAGATTCAAACTAAGAGAAATGGGCCACTGTTGATCTTGATGGACTATTGTTAAATCCGAAATCCAAATCTTGTGCTAGTCAGGAGTACCTTGCTGGAGGATATGAGGTAGTGCATCCACTAGGGACGCTGCAAAGAGGAACCCCCCTCAGTGTAAGGGAGAGTGACTGATGGGAGCGAGTTGATCTGACATTAGAGCTGCCTTTGGTGTGAGAACCACAGCTGCCTCTCAAATGCAGTGTGATTGATTAAACTCTAAACAAAAGGGATTTACTCATTAAAGGCTCAGTCGATGAAGAAATGAATATGCCATTTACAACTAATCTGCACCATAAACCCACACAACCTAGTACCTCATTTCAAACCAGAGGTGGATAATACAGAAAAGTATAAGATAAGCACTTTATGGATTACAATCTGACATCACAAAGTGCAGCCAAGCGTTTATAGCTTTGCAGCGCAGTAAGTACAAGTGTTTGTCCTCTGATCTAAAGGTCAGTGGTTCAAACTCTGCTCCTGGCATAAACATTGTTGTTAAAATGGACAGATCCACTGACTCTCTGGTTGGTAGTTGGTAGTGCTCCCACAGATTAATGCTACAGTTGTGTCTTTAGGCAAGACACTTAACCCCTGTCACACCTGTTGTCTGCACATACAAGTGTATGAATTTGTGTGTGAATGGGCGAGTGGTTCCTTAATGTAAAGTGATTTGAAGGAAAAAAAACAAAGTAAAAAAAAAAACAGTGCTATAAAAATGTAGCATTGGTCTGTACAATTAACTTGAAACTGAAAAGGAAGAGCAAAAGTGGCACAGATGGGTCATCCTCCCAACAGTCTTCCTTTGGACCTCACTTTGCCTGTGGCGTCCCTAGTTTTTATGCGCCCTAGGCAAAATTTCTGGTAAGAGGTATTCTAATACTATTGAGTACTTTTGCAAAGATCTTCATAAGCTGCATTCAGACCAGTGCGTCAGGGTGTTGGGTTTACATGTCAAGTCTATGTGGACGTACGTCTAGGGCTTCATGTGTATTTGCGGCATGTCTTCAGGTGTCAGTACGGCGAGAATCTGGTGATGATGCAGAGCATCCAGCGCGTCCAATACCAGAGTTGAAAAAGCTGAACTTTTCAGGGGTTACAGTGATGTAGCGACCTCATTAGCCGGAAGAAAAAGAAAAGAGAGAAAGACCCAGGGCCAGTGATGACTCTGGCCAAACTATGTCATGGACCCAGACACAAGCTTGTCTTCATCTTCCTCTGAACCTCTTCTTCCCTCTCACGGCGTCTGGACCTCCTCTTCCCTCTCAGTGGTCTTTCTCTGGACCTTTTTTTCCTTCACAGCGGTCATCATCTTGACCTTCTTCTTCCTCTCTCTGATCTTCCTCTGAGCCTCCTCTCCCTCTCTCTGGTATTCCTCTGGACGTCTGGAGCAGTATATGTCGTGTCCTCCTGGTGCGTTGGTCCAGTGCTGTGGCTTACACTTTGTTCTAGTGTCTTTGCGTTCTCCCTGAAGGACAGAAGCTGCTCATTAAAACCCTCTCCTAACCCCTTCTACATGATTTATTAATGACCACTTCAAACTAAGAGCAGCTGTGCATTCCGTCCAAGTCAGTTTAGTCCTGTAGAGACTTCATTTATGTGATATACTTTAATTCCAATATAGATCTAAAGGCTTTGGCCACTATAGCTCTTGGTCAAGTCAATAACTGTGCAACTGATGTCATCAACATTCCTTGGGGGTATGATGCAAACTAAAAGCACTGTTCTGTCTGAAGCTCTGAAACTCAAATTAGACTTTAATTTTTTAATCTTTCTTTTAACACATTTAACAATCTGATAAAGAACTGCAAAGGTAAACCGATCTGTGCTGGTAAACAAGATCCTCTCAAATCCCATTACATTCAACAAGTTTGTTGTGTTGTATTTTTAAGACTTTCTGTCAGTGTTTTAACTGCTGAACATTCTGTCATAGACTTACATACATGCTATCACATACAACCATGTTCATCTATTAATCTATTACAGGTTAAGGATTGAGTAATTGTAAACAATCAGAATTTTCTTCTAGCAAAAATGAAATTTGAATTGACCAGTTTTAAGTAAGATCTAGTTTATAGCATTTATAGCTTAGGGGAGGGAGACGGCTCATATATGTAGATTTATATATGTCGAGGAGATCCTGATCCAAAGGTTAGGGTTAGGTAGTTCAACTTCTGCTCGAAACAATTTATGGTTAAGCACTGAACAATCATAAAATTGTAAGGTTTCTTCTCCAAAAATGAGGACAAGTTTGAATTTACACCATTAGATCTATTTTAGTCCAAGGATGAAAGTAAGCCAGTATGGTCCGATACCATGTACCCCTAAAAGATTTGGTGGCCGTACACTGTACCAAGAGGTAGCGAGGTAATAAGCTGTTGAACATTGCGCACAGAAAAGTAGTCCCACTGAAATGATTGAGTCTAGTTTCAAACCATCACTTAAACTACTTAATTTAATATATCTCTGTGTCAGTTTGTGTATTTAAAAAATACATACATTTTTAAAAAAAGTTAATAGATGGTTTGCCTTTCCACAAAATTTACAGTCAGTGTCCTGTACTCAAACTTCTGTTCATCTCTGATACAACCAACCACTGCAGAGGCATCAGAGAACTTCTGCAGGTGGCAGGACTCGGAGCTTGACTGGAAATCAGAGGTGGACAGAGTGAACAGAAACAGAAACAGGACTGTAATCAAGGGGGCTCCTACATTACTGACCACCGTATCAGACAGGGTAGTGCCCAGCCGCATGTACCGAGACCTGCCTGACCGGTAGTCAGTAATCCCGGAGACAATGGAGGAGCTGACACCCATCCTGAGCAGATTCTCACTCATTAGAAAGGGTTGGATTGTATTGAAGCCATTGAAAAACAATATCCTCACAAAGCCCTTAACACTATCCAGGTGTGAGTGAGCCCAGTGAAGAAGACAGATTACAGCATCTTTGACGCCTAGATGGCACTGATAGGCAAACTGTAGAGGATCCAGGGATGGTGCCACCAGGTCTGAGCTGATCCAGAACAAGTCTCTCAAACACTTTCATGACATGAGACGTCAAAGCAACTGGTCTGAAGTCATTAAGTTCAAATGGAATGTGCTTCTTGGGCACCGGCGCAATGCAGGTCTTCCACAGCAGCGGTATTCTTCCAAACTTCAGACTCAGGGTGAAGAGAAAGTGCATAAATCCCAGTGAGGTGTGCAGCACATGTCCTCAGCACACGATCTGGCCCAGGAGACTTCCTTTGATGAACTCTCTCCAGCTGTCTTCTCACCCGGGCAGGTTTCTCCATGGGGGTGGAGGTAGGTGAGGGAGCAGAGGTGATGGGCTTATGAATAGCTATTTGTTTTCGTTTTTTTGGTTTACCTAAATAC